AAAATATCTTTAGTGTTGTTTGTCTTTTTCTCCTCTCTCTGCCTCTTGAGTTAGAGAAAAACTCTCCTCTTTTAAAATATTACTGTTTACAAATCGAATCCTTTCCAAATAACTCCCAAAATGGGAGTGAGCGCATGTGTTCTTCAACTCTTCCAGTATCGGAAGGGACCATCTTCACGATCCAAGCCAGTCCTCCAGGTTTCCATCAGCTGTCCTCAGGATATCAGAAAAACTTCCTGGCAAGGACTTTTAAACAAGTTGAGAAGTTTTATAAGATAAAAATATTTTTTCAGTTGACTTGACAACCATGTACAGTGTTAGTGGAGAGTTTATTTGCCCAAGGCTTTTTGTCAAAATGAATTTAAACTGAGATTATTAAGTTCAGTTGCACAGCATGCAGAGAGGTGTTACTAATGTCTTACTTTGAAACAGTTTTCCATGCAGTGTACCATACATGGTTACAGAACTGTGTATAGAGAGAGGTGTGTTTCTGCTAAAGACAGGGGAGGCATAAAACAAACAAACAAACAAAACCCTAAAAAAAACCTCAGAACACAAATCATGTACTAAAATGGAGTTTGGTCCAGGAAGATAAGCCCTAGAGTGGGGTGATTCAGAGGTCTGTCTGTCTGAGCATTGAACTAAGAGGATATGCATCTAAGTCACATGTCCTGCCTTGACCTCAGAGCTGTCTTCATCTGTAAAATAGAAGCCATTTTAATGGGAACATTATGGGGCTATTATGAAGGTTAAATGATATCATTGCAAATGACTAATATGTTGACTGGCCCAGATAAAGATTAACAATTGTTTTATTTCATAGCTGTAGAATCAAGGCTTAGCAATGTTTCTTGATGATTCCAGATGTGCTGCAAATTATCCATATCCAAATATTTTGATAATCCGTTCTGATGTGAATCATACAGGAAATGTTAATGATCAATAAGCAATAATTCCATCGTCAGCTCTTTCCATGGCTCAAGCTGAGGTCTAACGTGATAATCAGGTTCCCGGAGGAAAATGGTCATCAGCTGACCTCTTCTTCAACTGGAAAATCACATCACTCCTTTGGAAATGGACAAATCGTTAAGTCTTGGAAGTTATATCTCCCAAATGGATACATTACTTAAGAAATTTTATTGTTGCATTTGTAAAACTCCAACATTTGTGCATGAGTCTAAAGACTGCTCCAGCACAATAGGAGAACTCATCATATTCCCCATGGTCAGTCAGAGGCTGTAAACTGAAGGTGTGCCCCATGAGCATGCTGTGGCCGTGTATACCAGAGATGAGGCAGTCCACAGACTGCATCAGAAGCAAGGGCTCGCAGGTGTAATCAGGCATCCCGAGAATTCTGTGAGATTGTGCCAAGCTTACAGGTGCTTGTTTTAAAAATATTTTCATAAATTTATTTTGATCATGTTTTCCCCTTGCCCAACTCCTCTCAGATCCTTCCCACCTCCCTACACATCCTACTTGTTTAAATTCAATAACTAAGCAAAGCAATTCTTGCTCTGGTAGTTTTCTTAACGAGCCTTAAGCCCACACTTTCAACAAGGCAAACACAGGACATCGCCTGGATCTCTGTGTATCTTTTGTCAAAAGACATTTGCAATGAAATTCCTCTTATTGACTCCTCCTCAGTGTAAAGTGGCCTCTGTGGAGTCACTTTGTAAACAATTTTCAACAACCCCACTCAGTCTTCACAACAAAGGGTAGGTGGCAGAGTGCTCTAAAGTTCACAGTTACTTTGATACTAGTGTTCAATTTGCTTTTTATCTTCGGTCTTTCTGAGTGGAGCTGTTTCATATGCATCCTATACAATGTCTTACTTCTTCTTATGGTTATCAACCTTTCAAAGCATTTTCTCTTTCTGCATTTTTTTTGTCAATCATGCCATTAATATGTGTTGATGCAGACCCAATTCAAAGACATTCATGAAAAACAGAATCATTATTCACTAGTGAGTGATTTCTGGTTCTGAAAGTGAATAGTTAACATTTGATAGTACATTTTTTTATTTTTTAATCAAAATTATCATACCTAAAAGAATTGTACCTAATTAATGTACTTTGTATTCTGCAGAATACAGATGAGATTGATTACTTCCATGTCAGCTTCTTCTTTCAAAAACTCCTGTCACAATAAGTTTTATTCAAATATTTAATTTTCATATTCAATATCTTTTATTTTGGTTTTAGAACAAGTCTAATTATAATCACATAGAACAACTTTGATGAAAAAATTCTAACAGTATTTTAAACTCCAATATAAATTTTCTTGCAAACTTTCATTTAAAATTTTTTATTTTTTACTTAGAACAAAGCCGGATGAAATAGAATATTGCACTATCATGCCTTTGTTGGAAACTTTGCATATATTAAACCAACTTTTACCTTTCTGCTTTTTCAATATTAGTCTCTATTCATGAGTGATTACATCAAAATCCTGAGTTTGAGAATTTATTAGACATTATAAGAATTTTGTTCTTAAAGAGAAGCAGTTCTGGTTGAGCTATGTAGAGTGGGGTTCTAGATGCCAGATATTTTGGGACATTTCTTTGTGCTCAAGAATTTTGAAAATAACTACAATACAACTTAGAGAACATTGAACATTAGCCATCACAAAATCCTTTGATAAATTAAGGCAATATACAAAAAATGAGGTAGAGGTTGGTAAAAGTCTTTTTAGCAATAATCTGCAGATGGGTTGAATTATGTTATATTGTAAGTAGCATATATTTTGGCAAAAAAGCTGGAAGAAAGACACCTTAGAAGTGAAGGGTAAGGTATGGACTTCATAGTGCCCAATGGGTGATGGCTAATTTCAATCTTATGAACCACCTGTCACCTCCTTTATTATTTCCAACTGTAGGCTAATCTTCACTAGCTAAATATATAATTATTCCTAAAACATAGGGTCATTTACAAGGTGGTTAAAAAAAAAAAAACTTCTGTGTTCATTTGACAGGGTTTTTTATGTTCATTATGGTTTGCTTATTCAGTAATTTCTCAGTGTAACAAACTCTTTTTCCTTCTCATGTTTTAGGAGTAAGACCCGTGGGGCACGTATATATGAACACTACTTGTCCCCATGTTCGTAAGGGAAAGGCCTGTGGAGTATAGTTGCTGTGGACACTTCCTGTCTACATAGTATTAGGGAAAGGCTTGAGGACCAATAATTACTTTGGATGGTATTGTTCATCCCTATGTTCTTAGACTTAAGGTCTGTACCCCCATGTTCATGGGGATTTGAACTGTGTAACACATGCTTACTGTGGAAGTTCACTGTCCGCATGTTCTTAGGAGTGAGTCCTGTGGCGCACATAGTTGCTATGCAATCTCTCTGTTCCCATGCTACAGTGTTGAGCTTTGTGAGGCACATTAGTTATTTGTCACTGCTTCCTTCCTTCCTTCCTTTCTTCCTTCTTTCCTTCCTTTCTTTTGTTCTTCCTTCCTTCCTTCCTTTCTTTCTTTCTCTCTACCTTTCCCCATTCCTTTCTTCTTTTCTTCCTCCATATATATATATATGCATGTATGTACATATACATATATATGTACATACATATATATGCATGTATGTACATATACATATATACATATACATATACATATATATATACATATATATATATATATATATATATATATATATATATGTTGTGAGCCCAGCCTTTAACTGCTGAGCCATATGTCCAACCCTTGGTTTTTGTTGTTGTTCATTTGTTTTTGTGTTGGCTTGTTTATTTTGAGACAGGGTTACCATAAAAAGTGTTTAATGACATGCCTACAAAATATTTTATATTAAGACAGAAAAGATGAAAGGGCCTCATATATATATAGTATGTATATTGAGCATAGATAATGCTAAATAATAGTGAATTACAAGAAAGAAACATAGTTGAGAAATTCCAAGTTATTTTTAATAAATGAAGTGGCAAAAGATGAAGGGCATAGGTCTTCACTGGGTCATCTGGAAACTGCTATACTGGAAGGCAAGAATGCCAATTCATGCTAAAGTCAACTTTTATTATCGGTCCATTTCACAGGGGTAAAGTCAATATAAACAGAGGGAGAATGTCAGTAAAACATACTGGGATAAGACCCAGGAAGAATATCATAGCAATTGTCTCTATTGCTTAGTAAAAATGTTTTATCATCTCCATTAGGTGGCAATAGGAATAGAAAGGAGATAACAGTTGAGAGAATTGAAGGACCATATTGGACAAGACCTTTTTCAAACACAGTGATTGCTTGGGAGTGGGACAAAGTGTTGGTGTGATGATAATTTAGGATACTGTAGCTAGCTGAACCATAACCAAACACCAGAGAGAAAAGAGGACACATTAAAATAAAAGTTTTAAAGAGGAAAAACTTCAAGTTCTATTGAAGGTAGTTTTAAAATACTTATTTGGGGATAAGCCAAATTTTCAGAGTAGAACCACTACTTAAATAAACAGATTTATGATTCAATAGAAAAGGTAATGATGGCCAAGAAGTTTTCCAGGAGATATTTTTGTTATTTAAGGTGTGTGGAAGAATATGGAGTTGTGAATCAGATGAAGGAAATGTTCCAAGAAGTTAGTAGTTTAGTTTGATTTCGTTTGGCTAAGAGGTACTTCATGTTTTAAAAGAACAAAGTACTTAAGGAAAAGGCATTGATTCAGTGATATTGAATGAAAATTTACTATTTTTATTCATAAAAATAATGCAAAAAATGTGTACAGTTTAGTATCTTATGTGTAGCTAAGCATACATTTTGAATATATGTTTTGAAGATGTTCTTAATCAAATTACATTATTTATTTTAAACCTGGTTGATAAAATTTAAAAAATAAGCATAATTTGAACTCCAATCTTATTTTTAAGCTAATTTCTTCCAAATAAAATCTCCCACTAGATGTTTTGACTGGCATGCCACTGTAGTAATAAAATATGTAAAAAAAAAAAAAAACACTTTCTTAATATGGATCTTTTTCTTTCAATTATATTCTAAATTAGCATGGGCATCAATCATGACAATGATCACCCATCATGTGCTGATGGACTTCATATCATGTCGGGTGAATGGATCAAAGGACAAAATCTTGGTGATGTTTCATGGTCCAGGTGTAGCAAGGAAGATTTGGAAAGATTTCTCAGGTACTAGTGTCACTAATTACTTTTTCATTGTGACTATGTGTTCCCGCTGACTGCCAACCAGTAAAGGCTGTGTGACAAAGTGGAAAGTCAACAACACAGTAGAACAGAGAGAGCACTTGACTACTTGACTCCGCCTGCCTCTTTCATTGAACTATGGTATGAATTAGAACACATAGTTTAATTTACCTGTTGTTTAGTTCTCTTTCTCAGATTAAATAATGGGCAAGGTGTTTTGAAAGGTAGAAAATTTCTATAATCGTGCATCTCTGTTGCTGAATGTAGTTGTCTTTCAGTGTTAGAGGGAACAGGCTCATCGAGTATCATACAACATACCTGTTCACACATGGAATTCCTTAAATACATGCTTTTTCACCATCCTAATGCTGTGACCCTTTAATACAGCTCCTCATGTTTTGGTGACCCACCCCCCCAGCCCTAAAATTATTTCATTGCTACTTCATAGTTGCAATTTTGCTACTGCTATGAATCATTATGTAAATATTTGATATGCGGGATATCCGATATGTGATCCCTAATGGGGTCACGACCCAAAGTTTGAGAACCACGTCCTTAATTAGGCCTCCACTTTCAATTTATGGTAATTCTTGGTTATAAATTCTTTTTTTCAATAAGAAGCAGTTCCAGGCTGTGTGTCCCATAGGGCACCTTAAGTATTTTACACCTCTATTGAGAGTAACAATTAGCTTCTGTCTAGCCAAAAACAGAAATGAAAATCCTGCTATTGTTCTTGTTTTTGTCTTAAAGTGCTTGTACCTTGTCTATGCCTTTGACAAAGAACCGGGTAAAAAGACTGGGTGGTATACGAAGCAGTGAGGGAGATGTTTAAGCTCTCCATAAATATAAAAGAGGACTTTATGAATAACTGCCTAGTTAAATCATCAGAAAGATGTAATCTATTCATTTGTTCATATTCTTTAAATAGGACACCCTATGTTATCTGTGTGTGTATATATATATATATATATATATATATATATATATATATATATATACACACACACACACACACACACACACACACACACACACACACACACTGTGGTATGATAAAATATAATGTTTATTTGGATTTTTTCATATGTGCAGGGGTGTGTGGTCATCCACTGGGTCATGAGCAACCTACCAGTGCCTAATTCCCCAAAATAGTAACTTTCCCTCCCTCAGTAACATCAGTTGCCAGTAGTTCTTCTGATGGTGGGTTTGCTTGGACTGTTCCTCCATCTGTACTGGAATTAGGATCTCATGTGGGTTCTATCCAGGTAGCCCATGCAACTGCGAGTTGGTGCATGCAACAACCATATCATGGGCAGAGCGCAACAGTTTACAACTCTCCACCAATTACTGACTCTTACTCCTTTTCCATGAAGCTGTCCAATGCTTGAACCCTGTGAGGATGATAAAGTGGTGGAGACCCTTTCATGGTCGAATACTCAGAATTACCCCAATTTTGCACTTGGACTTTGCTTCAAGTACTTCTCTGTAGGAATTAGGGGCATTTTGAAGGTGGTAGTGGTGAATGGGTGTGAGCTATATACACTGTATTAAAGTGTAAAACTTTCAGAGAATAAAGACTTTATTTAAAACCTATTTTATACTTGTATCTCTACTCTAAAAGCTGTTCATTAGATTCTGTACCTGCTCTTTGTCATGGTTCAGGATGTCATTCAGAGTATTAATAACTTGAAAACACCATCAGTAATTGCATTTGTAGACTGCAGTATACCCTGTATAGTGTGTCCTGGAAAAACATGCAAGATTTGTGTAGCTGTCATCACACATAAGGACTTTTATCAAATTAAATGTCATCTCAGAAATGGAAGTTGTGTCACAATTTCAATTACAGGCATCACCTGACTATTAATATTCATTATAAAATGATTTCTTTAAATCTCCAAATAGGACTGATACCATATGATGCTTTGGGTGGGTTACTCTCAGAGTATGAGCTTGTATACCTTACAAGTGAATAAATCATGCAACATCACACCAGATTTAAACCAGCTGAACTGATTCCTATGGACAGTGTTTATAATCAAAACATTCTGTTAACTTGGGAAGTATTGTTATCATTAGGATGATCTTGGCTGGTTATTAATATCCTCATATGCAGAATCGTTTCTAAAGCATTCAGTGTACAGCTACTGAGCAGAAAGTTAATTTCATCATAACCATAATGACTTTTTTCATTAAATTCACATTTTTAATCTTTCTGCATGTTGACAGGTCAAAGGCCAGTAGCTGCTTGCTACAGACAAGCCCACAGAGCCTCAGTTCTGTGCTGGTTCCCTCAAAGCTGCCAGGGACAGTGTACACTGCAGATGAACAGTGCCAGATTCTCTTTGGGCCTTTGGCTTCTTTTTGTCGAGAGATGCAGGTAAGAGGCATGGGCGGCTGTCCTTGCTTGACCACATTCATTGCCTAGAACCCCTTGTTGGTGGAGGAGATGGTCTTGTTTTAGTATGTGTTCTCCAAATCACGACAACCCTCAAAAGAAATGTCTTAGAACAAAAATGGTGTATTTGGGTAATTCCACCCAACTCTGCACCTATGTGAGGGCCACAGGACCCTTGCCTGCAATTCCTGCCCTGCTTCTGGCCCATCCCATTTCAAGGAGTGACCCTAGACCTATACCACTCATTCTGAAACCCCTGCTGTTTTCTTTACAATTTGGATATGAGAGAAATAAGGCATGGGTAGTTCGTAAGTGACAATAAAGAAAAAGGACTAAGGCAGAGAGGAAACTTACTACTTCAAAAAAAAAAAAAAATACTGAAGTCAGGCAACTATTTATCTTATGCCAGAATAATGCTTCACCTTTAAACTTTAAGCTTTTATAATTGTGGTAGAAGAGTCATCCATCCTTAAGCATAAGGTGTTTAAAATTATTTCTTAAAAAAAAAATTTTTGGCCTGGCTGTGGTGGCTCACGCCTTTAATCCTAGCCCTTAGAAGGCAGAGGCAGGCGGATCTCTGTAAAGGCCAGCCTGGTCTACAGAGCGAGTGTCAGGACAGGCTCCTAAGCTACACAGAGAATCCCTGCCTCGAAAAACCAAAAAAAAAAAAAAAAAAAATGGAGGCAGTCTTTAAACTGAATGGCAACTGTCCCCAGTACAACCTTCTTCTACTTTTTCATTTTCTGTTTGCTTTGTTTATATTATTATTCTTCACAAACTTTCTTGGATTGCTATAGGTATTATTTTATCCCTGAATATTTAATTGCTTAGGGGGTTTAAAAGAAAACATTTTTTTCTCGGTATCCTAATAAAGTCCTATTTTAAATTAAACATTGATCAAATAAATTGTTTAAATTTTTAAGTAGCCAGAAATATTCCTCTTTTCAAATTTTATTCATATATACACACACAGGGAGAGAGAGGTAAAAACTACTATTACATTTTCTCTCTCTCTCTCTTTTTTCCTTTTTTTATTTAAATCTGAAACTAAGTTGTTTTACATGTCAATCCCAGTTCCTCATCCTCCCATCCTCCCTTGTTCACCCTCACCAAACCCCAGCTCATCCCCTTTCTTCCACCCCTGGGAGGGTCAGGCCTTCCATGGGGAGTCTTCAAAGTCTGTCATATCATTTGGAGCAGGGCCTCCCCCTTGTGTCTAGGCTGAGAGAGTATCCCTCTATCTGGAATGGGCTCCCAAAGTCCCTTCATTTACTAGGGATAAATACTGATCCACTACCAGAGGCCCCATAGACTGCCCAGGCCTCCTAACTGACACCCACATTTGGGGGATCTGGGTCTGTCCTAAGCTTGTTTCCCAGCTTTGCAGTTTTAGCTTTCACAGTGACACCTCTCCTTTTTGAAAGGTCTGATCTGACCCAGGTCTAGGCTTCGGGTCACATGTTTTTATTAAGGAACTAGAGAACTAGAATCTTCAGTTAGCTTCTGTTGTTACTCCAGTCTGCTGTGCTAGCTACAGACAACCACAGACAACATCTATGTGATTGACCATGGGGAGCAATACAGTAAAGCTTTATTGACAAAGAGCACTGGGCAGATACCAATGGTTTGCCAAACTCTGCTCTAGGGTTGAAAATGTGAGCACTTAATATATAACATGCCTAGATTAAGTGTGGTCCCTTTTATTAAATGTTGGTCTATTTTCACTTGGATTATAGGAATATGCTGTATGCAGTCACACAGGTGCAGTCTGCCTTATGCTGTATCGTATATGCTAATCTGTGCACAGTGCCAACTGCAAGACAGTGTTGTAAATTCTCCTTAAACATCTGCATGCAGTCTGAACAATGGCAAACTGTCCTCTCCTTTGCCCAGATGTTTACCCTTCTTGCTGTTCTACGCTGTGTCTCAAGAGAAGGTCTACTGTTCGGTTTCATTTCTCATGTTAACTTCTTCCATTTGGATTTTGCTCGTGATAAATTTCCCTTCATCTGAAAATGTTTTTTTCACATTTAAATATACTTTAACTATATATAATGCTTGGCTGGCATTTGCTTTCATGCATTTTCAGGGTGTTTTTTTTTTTTTTCTTTTTGTTTGTACTTCTTCCATATTCACATGTTTTATAAAATTTGGTAAGAAGTGTGTAGTCATCATTGCTTTGAAGACATTTCCGTACACTCACGTTTGTCTTCTCCCCCTCCTGATGACCCTATTAAACATGTGCAAACTAGGATGGCTTCACATGTTTCCTAAGAATTTTTATGCTTTTTAGTAGATTCATTCATTCATTCATTCAGATTCAGATTAACTTAGTTTCAGGTTTAATGAATATTAATCTGTTCTGTGCTCAGACCTATAGCACATACTTATTTTTCTCAGTCTAAAGTGGATCTCCATTGAGTCTGCCTTTGTCTCCTCCTATAACCTGTCTTATGTTCCATTTACTTCACAGAGGTTTCTTATCATTTCACTTTAAAGTGTGAAAACTGCAACTGTGTCTCATCTCAGGCTCTAATGGTTTCATTCTTCTTTAGAAAGGTACTTTGCCAGTTATTCACAGATAACCAGCATCCAATTGTGTAGTAGAAATGGTGATCTTATGTTTTAAAATAAGGCTTAGCACAGTGTGTCCTTGGGAGTTAACTGCTGGAATTCTAAATTAAAAATCTTACAGGAGTGTGGTCATGAATATTTGTTCACATATTCTTTATGGCTGTTATAAGACTACAATGTTAACATTAAACAGAGGCCATATGATTCCAAGGCATAAAATACATGTCATTTGGCACATGTTATTTTTAAAAAAAAATCATGCTGATCCTGTTGTCAAAATGAGATTCTGTTCTATTGTATTCCACAAACAAACAGAATGATTGGTTTGGGTTGTTGTTGTTATTATTATTATTACATTTTTACTGCTCACTGCTCATGGTAAATTAAGTTAGTTAAATTTATTTATTTACTTTCTTACTTACTTATTTATTGGTTTTCCTAGACAGGGTTTTTCTGTGTTGCTTTGGAGCCTGTCCTGGAATTAACTCTTGTAGACCAGGCTGGCCTCAAACTCAGAGATTCGCCTGTCTCTGCCTCCTGTTTCCCATCATTTTCTTGAGCTTTCTATGTGGCATGCTTCTCAGTCCTCAGCTAGGATGTCATCTTCCATTTTCCTATGAAAGAAACATATTTAATGTGTGTGCGTGCGTGTGTGTGTGTGTGTGTGTGTGTGTGTGCGCGCGCGCGCGCGCGTGCGTGCATGGTGAGCAGGTTTGTGTTTGCTTGAATGGGTTGTAAAGGAAATTTTATTGCATTAGCTTAGATTGATAGGTTTTTTTCTGTGTGTGTACATGTGTTTGTTTTGCTTTTGCTTACTGAATATAGAAGCTATTCGTGTCCTTACATTGGTTCAAAATCTTTGCTGTACTGTGTATCTCGAAAGAAAATTATCACTGCTAATTTGGGTTTTTATTGTAGACATTCACACATTCAAAAGATCATATGCTGAGGTTTTATCAAAGTAATGTGTTGGTCAGCAAAAGGCCTCAGCTGGTAAAGACACTTACCACTAAGCCTGACACACTGACCAGTGGATGGAGAGAACCAACTCCCACATATACGCAGATGCCCTGTCCCATACAAATAAGTGAATATTTTAACTAAATAAAAATAAATTATAAAAGGAATCTGAACATGCAGGTTTTATGTGAAGATATAAAACACAGATTTTTAAGTAATTTCTGGGCTTGATTACATCATTCAATTCCCTAATATTAAAACAGAAAAAAAGCTCGGTCATTATGCATTATATTTTTTGACTGATTGCTATATCCAGCCTGTATTTAAATCTAAATTTAAAATATAGCAATCACTAATATTACTTGTTCTTACGATTTTAGTTTAGTATTGGCATCCAACACATGATGTGTTTAGAAGTGTTGTCTCTCACTCTTTTCTGTAAAGGTTTTGTGTGAGTGGAGAGTCCAAGTTCTTAAAATGATACATTTGGGGACCACAGCTGTTCCTTATAAAAAAGACAATCAGTTTTAACTCTTCTGATCGTAGTATAATAACATATGATTTTGATTGAGGAGGTGTTTAAAAAAAACAAAAACCAAACACAAAACAAAAACCTAACAAACAAACAAAACAAACAAACAAAAAAACACCACCATTCCACAAATGGATTATATTTGAAATAATATGTGGAGCTACTGAGATTGTATTTTAGTAGGAATTCCATTTAAAAACAGAGTTACATGTCTAAGGACGAATTATTCCTTGGATGTATATGACTTCATATCATTTATTTTGAGAACATCTTGAAAATATTTTTCTGGAACCATTTGTGATAAAGAAAGAAAATTTATGGTATTTATACATGGACAGCTAACTTCCCTTCCCATTTAAATGTATAGCACAGTGTATGTGCATATGCCTATAAAAAGCCTATTTGAAATAAATACTCACAGTTTTATTATGTCTTTGAAAGGAATTCTGTTCACTACAAAGATTAAACCATAAATATTGCTGAGTTTTGTATTTGGGTTTAGATGTTCCATTCAGACAGTTTTGATTATTAAAAATTCTTTTAACTGGAAAACTAAGCAATCCCTAACCAAGTTAAAAGGTATGGCTTATTACTATGAAACCTAGAGAATGCTTTGTTCTAATTGCATACCCTACCCCACTCCTTTAAAAGGGCTAGGTAAGACAGAGCACGCATCTGACATTCCAACTTTAAAAGTTCAAACAGTCTATACCATTTCTTCACTTGCCTTGGAGAAGTCACCTTGAAGTGAAATGGGATTCTTCATAAGACCCACACTATGGGTTACCCAACATAGCCCTCTTGACCTGCAGAACTCGTAGTATTCGAAAGATTCCCCTCTGTATGATTTATTATACCTGGTTGTGCTTATCTTGAAAAGCTGCCAAGTTTGCTCTTTATCATTTCAGTTTCTCAAGTGGGAATTGATTAGAGCACCTGCTGTCTTGAAGGGCACAGAGCTCACATTTGAAGGTCAGCATTTAGACCACCAACAGTGGTCTGCTCTGAAAAGATAGGGTAGTAAGTTTGCTTTTTGGTTGACTGGTGAACCTAAGTTATATTTGTCTTAACCCAAATGAACTTTATTGAATAGTAATCAAGCTGTTGTTTGGTGGGAATTCAGCATTTGGCTCTAGTTACAAGAAAAAGGTCTTAAGATAGACTTGAGATAGGTAAAACATTTAAGAATTAAAATTGTAAAGCCTGAGCTATAACCTCATATTTATAAGCATTTGGGGGGGGGGATTCAAGAACCTAAAGCAGCCAGATTATTCAGTCTTTCAAGTAATTTTCTAGATGAAATTCCGATAAAGTGATCAGCAAAGGGTTGGGATAAACCACACTCCAGACATTTAGGAAATTACAAACAATTGTCCACCAGGAAAGGTATAACTTGTTCATTTTTTCTTCTGTGAAAAAGATTCCCTCACTTCGAGATATTTTGTGTAAATATAATCTTACTTTATTTTGAATGTGGTTTATCCCAACTCTTTGCAGAGGGAAGTTCTGTGTGTTATTGTGGAGAGGGGCCTATGTATTCATTGAGAATACATAAGAATAGATTCATTAAGAACTGATCATTAGTCACTCAACACGGGGGGAGGGGGAGGGCAGGCTTAACCACATAAATCAAAATCAAGCTGAGCAGTAAGGTACCAGGGAGAAGAGGGTGGCATCTGGGATGCAGCTGGAAGAACTGGCCTTGGGGAGCGGAATTGAAATACTGCTACTTAGAAGAATACGGATGGGATGAATGTCTGTGGATAGGACTAATCCCAAAAGTTTTATAGTGGGAAGATAGGTAATCTTTCTTCCTGAATTGATTTATTCTTTTAAATTTTTCATTAACTGCCCTTTACAATCTTTCCTTTTCTTCGATTCTGTAGAAAGTATTTTATTCACACCATGTCTAGCCACATATTGTTTTTAAAATTCTCATCTTTCAATAGAAGTTTATTGCATTCCAAAAGTCTAAGAGATTTATTCCCGCATAAGTGAAAATAACTGATAATGATTGGCAGATATCTACATAGAATTACATGTGGGTCATATGTGGGTCATGACTGTGTATCTTAACCGTGCTGTGCAAGCAAAAAAAAAAAAAAAGGTCTGTGCATGAAGAATTGTTGGGAAAAGAGTGCTGAATGAGTAACACAAATAGAAACATGTCAGTACTAGGACAAGGATACAGTAGTAAGGCTCCTCCCTAGCATGCTCAAGGCCAAGGATCACACTCCAAAAACAGAAAAGTAACAAGTCAATTTTTTTATCCTTGAAGCCTTGTTCCTATAAGGGGCTAAATTATATGTGTGTGTGTGTGTGTGTGTGTGTGTGTGTGTGTGTATGTGTATATGTATATGCATATATATGCTAAAACTTTACTGTTATTAGCTACATAATTTTATGTGCCCCTTTGATTTATCAAAAATAATTTTTTAAGATTTAAATTAAAGTTTTTTAAACAGAATGGTTTACGTGGTTGCATCTGAAGTTTCCTGTCCCTATAGACAATCTATGTATTGTTTCATTTATCTTAATATTAAAAGTACATAGAGCATATTTTCAGCCAAATACATTTTTGCTTGCATCATAATAACTGAAATCGCTGGTCTGAACTCAAAACTAAGGACCACTCCCCTTCTGACATTGTGCCCTTTCTGCAGCATGCTATCTGCACTGGTCTGTGGTGCAGAGTAGAAGGTGAGGCAGAGTGCAGGACCAAGCTTGACCCACCAATGGATGGGACTGACTGTGACCCTGGCAAGGTGAGTCACTCACACAGCCTAGCGTAAGAAAGAAAATTACCTGAAATGGGAAATTTGCATTTTTCTCCCAACAGCTACATACACATCTGTCTTAGTATCAGTCAGATCATTTCAGTATGTTTAAAATGTTAATATTTCATCTACTTTTAGTTGTAATTTTTATATTTTTCATATGTATTGTTGTCTTCTTAATATTAAGGCATACAATTTTTCTTGGTATTATTATAATGTTCACAGTCAGATATAAATACTACATTCCCCTAAAACAAACTCATGTTCTTTTATTAGTTAAATATATAGAAATAAATAAGCACAGATAATAGTATCAATGATAAAATTTCCTAGATCACTGATAAATACTTTTAATTATGATTTTTTTCCCCTCAGGAGTTCAGCTATCACAGAGACTGACCAATAATTTTCTTTTTGTGGTCATTGTGTTTGTCTGGTTTTGGTACCAGGGTTACACTGATTTCATAAGAAGAATTGAGAGTGAGTCCTCATGTCTACTGTATGAAATAATTTGTGGATGTTAATGTTAGTTCTTTTTTGAAGATGGAATAGAATTCTACACTGTAACCATTTGGACCTGGGATCTTGCTCATTAATTAATTTATTAATTTATTTATGTTAGGATTTTTGTTTCATTGATTTGGTTTGAGTTTTGCGGGAGATTTTTAAAGATTATTCACTTTATCTCAATTTCGTGTTGGTAGGTAATATATATCTAGAAGTTCATCCATTTCTTTTAGATTTTCTACTTAAAATTTGGAACACCAACATTCCTCAGGTTATTTCTTACAATAGAAATTTGGTAGCACAACTGTTAACATCGAAAACCTGGAGAGGTATCATTAATAACTTAATGTCCCCCGTACAGCCTTGGAACAATTGTGTCAGAAAAACAAATATCCCATAATACTCTCTGATGTTCCAGAAAGGTGCAGGCTTCCTGTGCTGTATATGCACATAGCATGCATCCTTTTACACTAGTAGAAATTAATTTGAAAATGTTATAAAAAGGTAACTGTGTTACTCATGCCCCACCTCTTGGTGAGGTGTTATTGACAGTGGATGGTTAGTAGGGGAAGGAGAGGCATTCTTTTTGTGAGGATGTGGCCACTGAGATATTTGGCATGGATGGTCCCACACCACTGTATATATGGGAAGGAAGGAAGGGAGGGAGGGAGGGAGGGAGGGAAAGAGGGAGGGAGGGAAAGAGGGAGGGAGGGAAAGAGGGAGGGAGGGAGGAAGAAAGGAATGAAGGGAAAGAAGAGAGGGAGAAAGAAATACAGAGAAAGGAGAACAATGAAGTTGATAGTAGGGCATGTTTGGAAACATGGGAGGAACTGGAAAAAGTAAATGGGAGATGGAAGTTAACATACACACACACACACACACACACACACACACACACACACACACCTCAAAAATGTGTTTTTTAAAGAAGGGTTGCTGGACTGGTTTTAGGAAGCAATAATATATTGATATAAACATGTACTTCTATGATTTCTTTAATTAAAAGAGAAAAAACTACACATTGTTTAAATTGGAACTCCTTTTGAAGAGTTGAAGTGTTTTGTCACTTTCCATATGAGAATGGCCTCCTGGGGGACACTTCTGTGAAATATCAGCCAGCTGTTTATAGACTGTGCCAAATATTTTTCTATGAGATTAAATGGAGAATGACGATTGAGATCTGTTTTATTTTTTCTCAAATTATACACAGAGGTACAACAATGTGTGTTTATCAGGAGCGTCTCGTGACATTAACCTGAGTAATTTATTACATGAATCATAAAACTCTGGAAAGACAATAATTTTCATCATTGGAAACACCGTTGCAGAATCACAGAGGGATGTTGGACATCCGGCCAGGCATTCTCCAACATCACACAAGTTTTATTTAGTGCCTCATTTTTATAACCTGAATTCTAAATATTTTCACTATAACAGTCTTCTTGTATAGTTAATAATAATTTACTTGAGATCCCTAAAATCAATTCATTCTTTCAGCCAAAACTACTCATCAAAGGTGAAATGTTTTTTTTTTTTCCTCTGCGACCATGCTCATAATGTTTTTCTACATGTTGTTAACACTCTGTATTTGAAAATCTGATAATGAATTTCCCAGTTTCTTGCATCATGCAAACGTCTTCCAAAAGCCATGTCTGTTAGCTACTGTAGGAGCCGCCAGTCAGAAAACTTCCAAACTTGTTACATTACTGCTAATTTTTAAATGTTTTGGGCTCACACTAACTGCTATTAGCTTGGTATGATGCAAAACAAGAAAAAAGCTGGGAATTTTTAAAGTCTTTTGTGCCACGAAGGGTTGTTTGTCATTGAGTCTTTAAAGGCCCCTGTACAATTCGATTAATCAAATGATTTTGAAGATGAATGTTTACATACTGTTTAAAATAGCATTTTACAAGGTAAAAGAAGCAACCTTTTTCTTTGTACACTAGTACCATTGTACCATATCTATCATTTTTGGTTAACAATACAGAAAACAATGAGTTACTAAGTTATTTAGTATGAAACAGCAAGTACATAGGTTTCCATTTATTCACAGAATTTGCTCAGAATGCAAAGAGAGAAAAGGAAACTTAAGCAGCAACTTTGAATTAGATACCTCGAAGGATTCATTATTATCTAATCATTTAACTTCCTGAGTTAAGGCACTTGAGAATGCTGTGGTCATCCACTACTGAATATAACAAAGACCCCCACACCGTGACAACCACCAGGTGTTTGGGCAGACGGCCCCTGTTGCCCTTGCCTCTCTCCCTGTTTCCACAGTGTGTGCAGAGGGTGTGTTAGGATCATGGCCCTGCTGCTGTGACTTCTCCTTGTCCTTCCACCAATTCTCCTATCATAAACCTCTTACAGAGGTCTGCATAAATATTTGGTTTGGCAGCACAGAAACACAACCAGACATTTTAAGGCATGTCTTGCCACAGAAATGATTGATATTATATAGCATTAATGGGTTTTTTTGTAAATAAAACTAATCTTGTAGGTAATAGAATTTTTTCCATTTATTTAGCATTTACTTCTTGATTTTAAAAATAACAAGCACATGGTACAAAATATGATGCTACCAAGTTTATGGAATGCATCACTAGGAATGCTTTATATAGTAATTTATTGTATAATCATTTAAGCAAAATTAACACTTTGTGTAACACAGAAACAACACTCACTACCTACAAGATGCAGAAACACGTCCCTCTGGTGCAGAAACCTGGTTGTCGGCAAGGGGACAAACCTTCACTATCATGTTACAGTTTCCTTAAATATTACTGTTTTTTGTGTGCATGCTGGTTTGCATGTCTGTTTCCATTTTTCTTCAAGTGCTATATGTGATCCAGTTTAAATTATATGCAGGCTAAGTCCTCTTGCTTTCCAGAAGACTTCCAGTCGTCTATGAACTCTTGTCTAGCCAGTCTGTGCCAGCTTGCTGGCACAGGGTCTGTGATATGCACCCAGGGCCAAGTAAACAGCATCCAGGCATGCAAAACACTGTGACCAACTCAAGTTTGACAGTTTTCATACTAGGATTTTTTTTTTCCATGGCTCCCATAACATTATGGAGTCCTTAAAGCTAATATGTAATTCTACATTGATCACTTTTTCCTGCATGTTTTTTCACATGTCAGATTGAACCTTCAAATATAACCATAGTTTATTTATTAGCAATGTTAACAATAGTGACACTTCCCACCTTGCTTTACAAGATGAAGCTTAAAGCATACTAAATTGAAAAGAGGTTGAATTAAAGTTTTAATGTAACAAAAATATATACAGGAATTGATTAATTTTGCTTATAAAATTATCAATTGGATGTAAACTAAATGATACAGTGTTGTTTCCTAAGTTCTTTCCTCTACAAATAGTAGAAAAATCTTCAAAATACTTTTAAATCAAGACATTAATTAAAATGCTCTGAGTGAATGGGACTTTGGTTTATGAAAACCCATTTACGGCATTACTGTAATGATCCTTCTAATAAGCTTTTATGGTTACCATGATTAACCATGAAACCCTTTTGCTTTATGCTCTGTGCCACACTCAACCTCTGCAAAACAGTGTTTATTCTGGATGAGATGCTTTTGCACTGTGGACATGAGCAAGATGGGAGTCACAGCATTTCTGCACTACTATCAAAATCCTTTCCAAATCGTGATCCCCTTTGGTGCATTAAGCCTCCCATAGTCAGAAAGATCTACTTTCTCAGCCTTGCTATTTTACAACTACTGGGCTAAATGGTCCTAATAGGTCCTAATATTCTAACATGTTATTCAAGGTATGATGTTGTAGCCTTGTACCTGTTTTCTGTGTCCATCATCTACATAATCTATTCTTAAGAAAAATTGTAGCAGTCCTGTCCACGTATTTGATTATTCCTCAATAACCACAGAAATAACTACTATTATCTACCTATTCTACCATTCCTCAGAAGCCATAGAAATAACCCCTTTCATGGCTAATGGTTTTACTTCATGAAAAAGACACATGAATTAAAAAACATTAAAAAAAAAATACAAAGACCACATGCCTTTCTTTGTTTTCATGGTAACACTTCCCAGTTAAAACTATTAAACTCACTACAGAATTTGAAAGTGAAACGCAGGATTCCACAATCAATTGCTCAAGTCTTTCAAACAAACTTGGCTTTCAAGTGGAAGCTTATAATATAGTGTTAGTGGGAACTAAAGTTCACTGAAATGTTTGTTTCAGCCTAGTTCCAGAAGGATAGTTATTGCTGTTTGTCCATACTTACACATGGCTACATTGGAATATGCCTTTCTGCTGTGTGTGGTGGTGGTGGTGGGGTATTAATTTGTTCCCCCCCCTTTAATGCATTTCACAGACTGTGTTATCTGTTTTTCTTCTGCTTTTGCAACCACAGATCCCTTCTTCACTATTTCTACTCCTTCTCACTCACAACCCAGGATTTTCTACACTGTAGTGGTCAATCCCTGAGCACTGTTTTCATGCCGTGGTGACTGTTCATGACACCAGAACCAAGCAAGTGGCCCTTGATATTGCCAAGTGCCAGCTAACTTTTGTCTTTTGCAGTCTTCATATTTGCACTTGGGCTGCCATAGGCCTAACTGACTTGCATTAATTCCAGTAACTGTATAGACCAGTGAATGATTTTCAGTTGTGCCCTAATTTGTTCACCTAAGACATGACTTTTGGAATAGTGGTGTAAGGCTGGAGAATGCACCCGCAGGACCCCCGCACCTGAGCACTTGGCTGGAGAATGGAGCACGTGGAGTTCCTGTAGCCGAAGCTGCAGTTCTGGGGTCAGCAGTCGAGAGCGCAAGTGTCCTGGGTAAAGTCACAGCTCCTGGTTTGGGGGAGGGCATTTAGTCATCAGCTTTGAAATGCAAAGATTTTATCACCTACAAATCATAATGGAAAATGAAAGTAACTGTTACAACTGTACTACTGCCTCAAATTATTATTTACGTAAAATACAAGCTCTCCTTTAACAAGACAACATTGGTGAGCCTTTCTAAAAATGAATAATGAAGCCCACAGAAGGAGACTGTTCGTGAGTAAGTGTAATGCAGTGTACTTAAAAGAGCAGGATGTACATTAGAAGAGTCAGAGAAAAAGCTGAAGGAACTAGGAGAAAGGCAAGAGGATGATGAGACCTCAGAAAAGCAAAGGATGAGAACAAAGTTAGTGATGATAAAAGCTGAAAATACAAAAACAAGAAGAACAAACCAAAACCCATGTTGGGCCCAGGTACAGTTAGGGGTCATCAATAGGCCCTCTTGCTCAATGCCACTGCACCTGTAGAGAGCAGAGGGAAGGGACAGGTTCCACTCAGTCTGTCTTTGTGGTCCTCAGGGACACAGTACATTTACGCATAGATGCAAAGCTTCTGAATTTACTAAAGATCCTCAGGGCAAACTGACACAGGGGAAAGTCTTTACATGATGCACTGAGCTCTGCACTTGAACTACGTTTTCTGTGTTATCTAAAGTCAGTCTTGTCATTCAGAGATTTTAAAAGATACATTGAACATTCGAAAGAAAATGTTTCATTTTTTACAAATACAACAGGCCTATGAATGCCCTACTCTACTCAGTCACTTAGTATATCCATACTTTTAAAGAAACATTTTATTGGAAAGGATTGTGTTTTATAAATATGATGGTTTTCACTTTTAAAAGTTGGTACTTGTGGGGGAAAGGTGAAATTTATTATCTGTACTCTTTTTCTAGGCTAGGTTCTGAAGCAAGGGATTGTAATGGCCCCAGAAAACAATACAGAATATGTGAGAATCCACCTTGTCCTGCAGGTTTGCCTGGATTCAGAGACTGGCAATGTCAGGTCTATAGTGTTAGAGCTTCGTACCCAAAGCATGCACTTCGGTGGCAAGCTGTCTTCGACGAAGGTATGGCCACTAGCAGCACACAAATTGTTTAATAATATTTATGTTGTTCTACAAATAATCTAATAGTCATTTGTAGACTTTGGTTGTTTTTCTGACTTTTCTGGCATATAACACACACAAAACTAAACATATATATATATATATAATAATTAATTTTGAACAATGACTATATATCTATTAGAATAACTAAAATAGAAATACAATGAATATACCATGAATTTGGTAAAGATGAGACGAAAGTGGAGCTAACTAACATTTCTGATAGAAAGAGAAAATGACACAGGCACTGTGGAAAGTAGTTTGGGAGTCTCCCAAATAGCTGAACAGGCAATGAGCAATGAAGAAGTTGTTTGCTTGAGCAATAGAATGCTATGCAACCAGTACTACTGAAAGGTAGAAAACTCGATGGATTTCAGGGCATTGCGCCAAATGAAAAATTCCAGGCACATAAGGACATGTGTTATTTATACCGTACGGTCCATGGAAGTAGACTAAAGTGGCAAAATTGTAGAAAGGAAAATAAAAATAAAGGTGTGGCAAGAGGCACACACATGAACTGATAGAATACTTCCATGTCCTGGCTCGGCAGGTGTACATGCACCCATATCTTTGATAACATGGCACAGGATAGCACATACAGTTAACAGTGGACCCTTGTGTTTTACTGTATATTTTCACTAGAACGACCACGGTGCAGCATTCAAGGATCCTGAGAGGTATGTGGGTCATTTGTAAACTACTTTTTTTTTTGCAAACTGAAATAAATCTCTCACTATTTTAAGATGGGAATCTCAAGAAAATTATATGCTGCAGTGTTAGCTGACCAAATGTGTGTGTGCTTGTGTGGCGATGAACAAAAGTGGCAACAACCTCGCCGATTCCATCATGCTGTAGGGTTACCTTCACTTCTCATTCTCAAGGTGGACTGTGATTTGCCCTGTTTCCTTCAGTCTGCTGGATGGCCCAAACTCGGACGGCCTAGGGCTTCTTTAAGCTCTGTTCTCTCCGCTTAAGCACATGAGTATTAAAAAAGAAAAAAGAAAAAAAAAAAAACAATTATTACACAACATAACAGAAAAAAAAATTAGCGGTCAGACTACCTCTAAGTTCTCACTGTCACACACTTAGGCTTCCCCCTATCCACAGATACTCACTCATCTGCTTTCTACTAAGTAGCAGGGATTCTTTTTCTTTCTTTCTTTCTTTCTTTCTTTCTTTCTTTCTTTCTTTTGTTCGTTCTTTCTTTCTTTCTTTCTTTTTATTATTTTTTCTTATTTTACATATTGATCCCAGTTCCCACTCCCTCCCTCACTTCCTCCCATGCCCCTTGACCCCCCTCCCGTCCCATCTCCCCCCCACCCCACACCACAGGGAGGGTGATGCCTTTCAGGAGGGCTCATCAAAATCTGTCAAGTCATTTGCAGTAGGGACTAGGCCTTCCCTCCTGCCTCTAGGCTAAGGGAGTATCCATCCAAGGGGAATGTAAGTAGGAAGGGTTCAATTCCTCTTCCCAAGGCTAGTTGGCTCTCTAATGCTACCTTCTCCTCTCCTCCCCTCCTTTACCTTACTGATCAGCTCGCCTTTTTCTTCTTCTTCTTTTGTATATTTAAGTCCCTTTGTGTTGGGTGACTTGTGGTCAGCTCATTAAGATACATAGGCCTCTCCCATAAAGACCACACAGAACTTAACTTCCCTCTGGTGCACAGCCACATCGAGATGTGGGCCCACTCTCTTTCTTTACAGTCCTCTGCTTTCTTATCTCCAATATGGACTCGCCTAGCACAAATACTGATAATGTCCTTGAAGAGTCTCATGAATATTAAGGCTTGTTTATGATTTCCTGTCCTATTTTTACTTGAACGTCAAACAAGTGACCAATCCTTGCCCATTTAAACATTTGTGTGTCTTGGATTCTATGACCCAACAGAAATCTGGCTTCCCTACTTTGTCTCTAGTGTTTGCTCCTCTGACTATTAGAGATACTCTCTACTCTGGCATCTTCTTCCTGGGTAGACCATCATTATCAAGAGTTCAAATATGCAAATTAATCATCAAGTTATGTCTTTGGTCAGAGCTTTCCTTTGAGCTTCAAACTGATGTCTACCATGGATTGCTTGTTATCTCTACTTAAACGACTTGGACCTCCTTATCTCTTCCTCTACACTCCCACTGGTTCCATTTATGAGATCTATCTCAATGAACACACACACACACACTGTTTCAGCTACACAAACTCAACAACCCAATTTTAAAGAATTTTTGTAGCCCCCTTAAATTTCTTCCTACCTCACATCCATCATTCCTTTTTGCAGTCCCAGTAGAAGCAAGAACAAATTCCAAATCATCTTCAAATATATAATATGTACGTGTTTCCAAGCCCTTAGACAAGGGACTTTCTTAGCATTATACCTTTTTATTCTCAAGCTTTAATCTCACTGTTTATATATCTTGAAACCTCATGATTTGGGATGGGAAACTCAGATTATGCTAATCCTGTGGGAAACAAGAATTCCTGATCAACCAAATTGGTTCTACATCTCTTCCAAGCATCCCAGAAGCATCATGTAATATTACACTTCATCTCTATTCCCTCTATTGTCTGTTTTGAGTATAGTAATTGTATAGTAATTGGTATATGCCAAACTTCTAATGAATTTTATTGCATTAATTTGTATGCATTTTCAATATCTTCTAAAAATAAAGGTTTAGTCAATATGATAATTTACCTTATTTCATTATTTGAGGGATAATCCCATTATCACCTCTAATTGGCTGAAGGATTAGTAAAAGGAACATTCATTTGAAACCAACTAACTCATGTGGAATAAACGAGCATAATAGGTTTCCTTCAGATTAAAGGAAAGTTGGTCAGAGTGGGCACCAATGTACTCTTGTAAGAAATCACAGTAAAAGTGGTTTACAGGTCAAAAATCTGATGACTTGAGTTTGATCTCTACAAGACATGTTTGAAGGAGAGCCAGATTCTGAAATGCTGCTCTCCACCTCACACATATATACACACACACACCAAGAGTGAATAAAAATATTTAAAATATATCATAATTAATGAAAGAAATCCTGACTTATAGCATCATTTTATCATCAGTGAGTTATACTGTTTATACAATCAATAAATAAGCATTTTGAAATTAAATTTATAGTTAAATGATCCATAAACACAAATATTGTACATTTTTTGGTACCGTCAATATTTTGTAATACTGTGCAGTGCTCAAATAAAACATATTTATCTCCTTGAGCATTTACCATTTCTTTATGCTGAAATTGTCAATTGTATTTTCTCCCTCCTCAGGAAATGTGTGGTACATTCTGTTCTCACATAGTCAGTCTATAGATGCAGTTCACCAGAACTCCTTAGCACCCACTGACAGAGTTTTCCTGTGCATCTTGCACCTGTCTCTGGTAATCACATTCTATGTTCCACCTCTATGAAATCAACCTTAATATTCAAAGATAAGTGAGGTCATGTGAATTTATCTTTCCTGCCTGAATTATATCACATAATGTGATAGCCTTAAATGCCATCCATTTTGCTGACAAGGACAGGACTTCAGTCATTTTAGCATTATGGAGCATATTGTCCTTATCTACATAGACATTGATACACAGTTTAGTTCCTTTACTCTATCACTGTAAATATTACTTCAATGATTTTGAATCCCCCTTTTCCACACTGACTTAGTTTTCTTTCACTACGTGCTTAATAGTGGGCATGCTGAGTCATGTGGAAGTTCATTCAACTTTTCAGGAAGCCTCCTTACTACACACCTCCAACCCAGTGTAAAATTCCCTTTTCCCTACATGCAATTCGATATGTGACATCTTTTGCCTTTTTGGTAATGATCCTTCTTACTACTAAGGTGAGATGGTATTTCATTGTGGTTTTGAATTGTACATTTTAACCATTTTGCAACATGGATCAAATAAGTTCATCAGTCTGTATGATTAATAATATACATACCAATAACTAGTCTTCATAACACACTATGGAAGAAAATGAAGTATATGATTTCATAAATCATATACAAGTCTAAATTCTTGATAATAATCATATCTTATAGAGCGTATATCTGTTATTCTTTTATGATACATAGCCATGGGAGGATATCTGGGTATAGGATCTTATTGACGTGGCAAATATTCCTCATTAAAAAGAAAAGCAATGCGTGGCTTCAGTATTCCTATACATACATGCTTTGTGAGTACTAAGCCCTGCTGATTACCCTTGTGCAGTGAGCATCTTAGACAGGGATGTTCCTTTAAATCAAGCCATAGCACCAGCCTGCCAAGTACTGGCATGTTTCAGGGATCACCTTTGTGTCACAGTCTCCAGTGTATTCTCTAGGAAGAAAGACTGGGATCAGAGATTTATGACATCTATGAAGTTTACTTTCCTTTACAAAAGGAAAAATACAGAGATTTTTTTCATCTGACTTCTTGTTTGGAATATGAGTGCAGTTGTCATGAGGGCTAAACTCCTTTCAACTCGTGTATATGGTATGCTTCTGTCTTCAATGAAAAGTCTAGAAAGAGAATCACATACACACTTTTAAAGTATTGCAGTTACAGCAGCTGCTTTTAAGTCCAAAGATCTGACACAGTAAGCAGTCACTGAATAAGCACACTTTACTTTGAGGCGTGAGAGCACACTGAAGTGCTTTATTGCTGCTCCTAATGGCATCTTAAAGGAAAATTTCAAAACCATGCACATTAAAGGCCATATTCCAACTCCCCAGAATTGTTCAGAGCGGCATTCAGGAGCCACATGTGAAAACTGTTTGAAATGTTCAGTTTTGAAGGCTCATTTAACTGTCTGTCTTCTCTTTGCAAAGTGATACCCTGTTCCATGCCTCTGGCTGTTATTTGGTATTTATAGGATGCCATCAGCACACGTGGAACACAAGTGCCATGTCAAGGGCTGCAAACTATTTTCCATCCTATTTATACAAGTTTAATAAGCAGTAAAGGGCTGGCTGTGTCGAGCCAGGAGAGTAGAAATGTAGCATGGAGGCTGTTCTGAAGTTTCAGATTTGATTATCTGTACTATTGGTGTAACTGATACTACAGATCCTCCATAAAAAGCTTCAAATTAGAAACACTTAACAAAAACGATACCACTTTTGAGTCTAAGAGGCTAGCATTTGAAATCCAGCCCTCCTACCTCATGCTCAGTGAAGCACCGAGGACAAATGACAGCAGCTTGTGAATTCTGCACCGTGAATCAGTGGCTCCCAGCCTGGACATCAGGCATACTGACATGGTCTGTGAGTAAGCCGTGAAGGGACTGGGTCCTACCGTCCATTAGCACTGTGCCTCCCATACAACCACTTGTTGTTTCTGAAAACCAACCAAACAAAGAGGCAAATAAACCAAAACAGAATACAGAGAATTTGATGACAATTGATTGTCCTGCTTTAGTAATTTTCTATTGAGGATTTTGTAAACATTAAATATTACCATGCTAAAATTTATAAGTGAGAGACATCAGAAGAACTTCCTGTATAAATGTTAATCAGATTTTTGTGTGAGTAGTATCCTGATGTGTGCTTGGAGTAAGGAAGCTGTCATCCCAAAAGATTTGGATAAAAGTTAGGATAGACCAAATGTATTTCAGGACAATGATTGTTTTCTTTCCTACAGTTTTATGCCAGAAAACATACATCTGACAATCATTTGAAGCCAGATTCCTTCAGGTAGAGATTAACACAACTCGGTTATGGCATCTAATATAATAAGCCTCTGCTATGAATCTATTTTAACGTCATATTGCTCAGTGAGCATGGAATTATATTTTTACCCAGTATCATTATGGGAAAAATAGAGCTTAGATTAAAAAAAAAAAATTGACAAGTCGATGTTCTTCTTTTATCCACTTTGTTGTAGGAAAACCATGTGCCTTGTTTTGCTCTCCTGTTGGAAAGGAGCAGTCTGTCCTTCTGTCAGAAAAGGTGATGGATGGAACTTCCTGTGGATACCAGGGGTTAGATGTATGTGCAAATGGCAGGTGCCAGGTAAGATATCCCTGAAACGCAACTGTATGTGCTGTGGTGACCCTATGGGTCCACTGGGAAGCTTCATTACATGATGAAAAGCTTTGGGCTAAGAGTCCAGGGGGATTGGGTGGTTCAGACATGACTGGGATTGTAAGGCAAATTGAACTTGAAATGCCATGTCTCCATCTGTATAAAGATGAGTGAGAACTAGGGGACCCATGAATCCCATTGCCAGTGGAAAGAATTTTTTAAAAATATATAGATCTCATTCTTAAAATTGGAACCCTTATATGTCAGAACGTTCCAGAACAAAGAGTCAAACGCTCCAGTTTTCCAATTCTCTCCGCTCCTGAGACAGGAGTAATAAGCCATTAAAATTCAGTCAAGCTTGTTATGTTCAAATATTTATCAACATAATAGATCAATCAATCTTCAAATGCATCCTGTATTTTTAATAGTACTTACTGTATTTACTCTGCTCTTAAAATGTTCATTTACATGAAGTTGTGTGCTATTTTCTATCAGTCTTTAGAAACAGATTTTCTGTCCATAGTGGAAAGACCAAAAGCTGTAATGTAAATTTTTTCCTCATAACTCTGACTCGATATCAGGTTGACTTCTGCTGGAAGGTTAGTGTGCAGGAAGTTCAGTGTCATTGTGGTCATTGTGAACATGAGGAAAGGACTGGGCACAAGGGAAATGAGATTTCTGGCTTTTCAGAGTTGTCACTCTTAGGGCTGAGAAGAGAGACCTTTCTGTATTTTAGTTTATTCATGAGTTAGTTTGCTGCTTTTTTTTTTCTAGGCAATTTCTGACGTGTTTTTTTAGAAATGGAGAGAAGTGAGAGAATTAGCTGAGTACTGAAGCCACAGCATCTCCTAGGGAATCATGTTCTCAAACAAATTATACATTCTGTACATACGTGCATTAAGTGATTTGAAAATTTACATGTTAGAACAATGGCCAGTAAATTTTTCCATATAGTTCTCCGAACCCTACCACTGAAAAAATACATAGCTGAACACATACAAGCTTTGTATGGATCTACCAGTGACCCAAATCAGGTTAGACTTATAGTTAGAAATTGGAACCTTATACAACTTGAGTATTGCACAGATCCAACATTCTATACTCTGCTATGATACTGTAAAGTTTAACACTGAGCTGCCTGGTACTGCCACAAACATCAATAGAATATGACCATGATTTGAAAAGTCTCCACTGATAATTGATTTTATACATATTTTGCTTTCAGAATTATATATTATACAATTAAACCTATAATTTTATTTCATGGTAACATATGAATCTGTCTGGTTAGTGTATTTATAAATGGATTTATTTAAAACAATTAATACTCCTAATTGTGTGTGTGTCAGATACAATAGCTCAGACAACTCTGGTTGTCATATCACAGTGCTATAAATCCCTATTTTATAGAGCCTTGTGCTAGACATTAAAACTATGCCAACCAAAACTACACAAATGCTCCCATAAATCCGATTATTATAATTTGAGTAGAATTCTCCGAAATGGCATGGTACTTCTGTCTGCATCAGAATATGTCAAGATTCAGGTTTATTTTTTTATTTATTAAAATGAATCATTTCGCCAAAGTATAATGAAAAACATGAAAATTTTTCTGACAGCGCTCTGAAAACTGGGAATTTGATTAGCTTGCTTAGTTTTTAATCTCAAATGTATAGTCACAAAACTGACTCTGGAAATGTAAAAATGATGAATACAGAGCTCCAAAGTGTGTTTTATGGAGAATCCTGTTTATCCCAGTTGCTGCAAAGATAAGGAAGAGTTGGCCTGGTCATCCAGACATTTGCTCATGATCAACTCACCAGGGGTATTTAAGGTGCTCACCTTTGGCAAAAGGGCATTGCCTTCCTAAGCTGTTCATCTTCTGCTTCCAGGTTCATGTGAGCGAACTAAGACAACCAGTTATGAAACACAAAGACTTCAATTTTCACTGCTTGAATATTTGATGATCTTACTGCTGATCTCCATCCTACATTTTTTTCCATTTAAACACGGAGGGATGCTTGTTTTCTTAGCCAGATGTTCCTGACTCTTGCTAGGTGACCTCCACACATGTTGTATTTGAAGCACTTCCTATAATGGTCACTTCTGAAATCAACTTGACTAACTGACCAAAGCCTGCCACTAACCACTGTTCTATTCTTTGACACTGCTGGGCATTCTGCCATGAGGAAGGCTTGTCTCCATATGCAGCAATTTTGTCACTTATGCTTTCTCTGAATACACATCCCTTAGCTGTTTAATGTGTGTGTGTGCGTGCGTGTGTGTGCATGTGTGTGCGTATGTGTGTGTGTGTGTGTGTGTGTATTCTGCTTCCCACATTTTAATAATGTCAACACCAACCACAAGTAGATCCTTGCTTTTCACTCCAATTTCTATATTTAAAATTTTCCCATATATAAAGGTCACTTGTCATGTATTAATTATCAGTCTTTCATTCAAACTTTTTCTTTGAAGGAGGGTCACTGATAGACGAAATTCTTCTTGGTGTATGTATAGTCAGCTTGGGAAAGCAGGGTCCTGTCTCCTTAGTTTCAGTGAAGGGCAGTATTTTGTCGATAGAAAATAGTAAGTTTATTTGGTCTCAGCTGTCTATGGACGGAATAGTTCTAGGAACATGCAAAAATGAGTTTTTCAAAAAAACTCATACTTTCTTGTGTCATCACGTTTGCAAGTCCCTACACTCACTTCACTTAGGAAGTGAGGCCATCCATGCAGTGGAATTGAGCCACTCAGTACCGTGAGCATGTGGACCAGAACAGAAGTCATTCCATTTTCTTCGATAATTTCATTTTCTTCAATAATTGTTTCCTTTTCTCATAACTACTTTGGGATATCATTCAATATTTACCATAAGAAAAATACTGTTGCCACTACCTACAATTTGGCCAATTTGCAAGTTTTATTATTTGACATGAGTTTGTGGCATTATTTGCAGTTGCAGAATGTTGCAATTTGATAGTTTGCCTCTCAGGGACCTGACTTTTAGAGATAAAGCTCATCCTAAGTCAATGATTTATTAAAGGGCAGAAAGAAACAACTCAATTAAGAAAAAAGTATTTCCGTTTTCATTTTGTTTTGATTGTGAATTGCATGCATGCATATAATGTACTTTTATAAAATTCGTACCATGTTCCCTCCTCAGTAGTCTGTCCTTTATCAACTTATCATTCTTCCCTCCCAATTTCATATGTTCCGTTTTAAACACACTGCATCCACTTAGTGCTGCCAGCATGTGCATGGGTGTAGGGCCATTTAACTGGCCAATGGGAAGCTTCCCAAGGGCCATATCCATAAAGGAAAGCACTTCTTTCTCCCCAAGCATCATCTATCAGTTGATCATAACTCTTCATCTAGGGATAGAACTTCATGAGCATCTCTGCAACCCATGCTGGGATTTTGTCTTGCTTGATTTTATTCATTCACAGCTGCTATGAGTTAGTTGGTATATGCTACTACCCTGCCATGTCCTGAAAACATTTCTTTTTCTGGAATTATCCATTTTGGTTCTTTCCACCTCCCCATCTCTTATGATTGTTGAGCCTTGGGAGGATAATAGGGGCCTATTTTACTACTGTAAAATAATTGTCTCTGATGGAAGTTAAGAGATGCACTACTCTATGGTTACAAAGTTAAGAACTTAGGGAGCAGTTTAACACCATGTCCATTTACCAGAGTAATAGTTCTCTACTTGGGTCTGTGACTCACTGAGCCGTGGGTTCTTGGCTTTGTTAATGGTGGCTCACATAAATTCTATTTCACAGGGTGAGCCTTAAAATCTGAAGCAGTTGATTATGCCCATAAAATTTTGCCACTGTTGTATCAATGGTTTCATTTTGCCAGACATTGGAACTGTAGTTGTTGGCATTAGCACTTGGATAAGACTGATGATTACTTTACTTCCCTGGTATCATGCATAGCACTTCCCTGCACCATGAATGCTAGAGAGTAGACATGGCATTCCCATGTGGACCCAGCTGGACTTTTTGCTGTTCTATGACTCAAGAATGGCAATGCACTGTATGTTTAGGGTGTGAAAGTGACCAATATCTTGGAAAGAGGTATCTCATTCCTACCATTGTGCCTTGTTTTCTTTCTTTCTCTCTTTCTTCCTTTCTTTCTTTCTCTCTTTCTTTTGTTCTCTCTTTTGTTTGTTCTTTCTTTTCTTTTAATTATTAGATTGCCAATAATATCTGGAAAACAGTATTTCCCCATTATAGTGTAACTCCATTTAAACTCCTCTTATATAGGCACAAATGTGTGTTTGGGGGAGGTTTTATACTACTAGGTCTCTTCATGCTTTTTTGAAGGTGCTATTCTTCCCTCTCTCCAGGTAGTTACTACTCAACCATGCCCTCCTGTGCCACACCCCATTAACCATTCTTGCCCATTATTTTACATTCCCTCTTCATACCACCTGAGTTGTATCTCTGCTCTCTTGTAAGCTTTCTCTCTCATTGCCACTTACTAGTTTCCAGGCTATTTCAATTTAAAAACATATTTCTAAAGGTTCAAAGCTAGCACCCACATGCTAGCTAGAGAACATGCAATGTTTGTATACCTGGGTGTACCTTATCTCACTCAGAACCTTTGCATCTCCAATCATTTACCTGCAAAGTTCATAATTTCATTTTCCTTTATAATAAATAATGATCCATTGTGTAAATGTACCACAGTGTTATTATACCACTCATCAGTTTATGGACTTGGAAACATTTCATTTTCAGACTGTTGTAAATAGATTAGCACTGAACATGGATTACCAAGTGTTTCTGTAATGGGATACAGAGTCCTTTGGATTGTGCCCAAGAGTGGTACAACTGCATTATATGACAGAGTTAATCTAGCCTTTTGAGGAATTTCCATTGACTGCCATAGTGGCTGTACATGTTTGCAATTTTACTAACAGTGAGTTAAGTGTGCCCTTTCTACACACCCAAGCTAGCATTTGTTGTCATTTGATTTTATGA